TTCAAGTCAATAAGTAAACTTTTTTAAGGCTTTTTTTATCTAAATTATATTCGTATGCCAAAATATCTGGATAACCTTCAGTAATTTATTCCTATAATATTTTACCCAAGGAAGGTATACCATCTCCATTAAAAGTTCCTATAAGGTTAAAATATCTAAAGCGAAATCGGTGGAGGATAGGATAAAACATCTTTAGTGTATATATACTGCGGAATAGATAATTTTTATAAGAATCATACGGTAAAGAAAACCTGAAATTGTAGGTAGCGAGCTTCTGCTGTAGCGTTAATCCTTCACTGGATGTGCAGGATTTCTTGACATATGTTGTGCTGGTGTTTTTCCACCCTGCTTCTTTTGTGGCAAAATTTTGGTTTTTATGCAGGAAATGATTGTGAAGCATAGAGGTCTGGTAAAATTCTATTTTTTCACGAAGGTTAAATATGGCTCAAAGCTAATCTAGTTATATATTTTGTTAGACATAATGGTAGGCTTTTAGAGCTCGTCAGAGGATTGATCCGATTTTTCATCAGAAGGTGGAGCCTGCTATGCAGGATGGTAGGTGTGTATAGAATATTGAGAGATAGCTGCTCGATAGGCAAGGTGTGGGGATTATATCTGCTCATAGATATTGAATATATAAAATCTAATGGCTGTCTGTACAAAGAAGAGATATGTTGGAACGTCCTTGCAACGAGAGATGTTACATCTGTCCTCTTTAGATCGTACTTATTAGTAATTTCTTGAGACTAATCGGGATAAACAAAGTATGGAGTAAAGAAATATGTTTGGTATCACATTGCAGGACAAACCAGAAGAGTGAGCGACAGTAAGACTAAGTCACCATTGGTTTTTGGTATTAGACAATGCTTTACAGCCCCAAATATTATAGCGGGTCGATTTCGGAAAAGTTCTTTGCTTTTCCATCCCTATGAATCTCAAAATTTTATCTATCTTAACTTTTAGAAGTGGGTTGACCTCGTTGTCGCAACTTGGTCTTGTGTTCAGGGAGACTATGTAGAACGC